ATAATGATGCGATAAGCCGTTGTATGCACTTCGTCTTGAATTAGGTATTTCTTGTTATAATTTAATTATAGTCTCAGGTATTCAGTAACAGGATTATTGATCACGTTTGTTGAAAAATGAACAGTTTCCCTTGGGTTTTCTTTTAACAGCTTCCCTGTGTGCTGGACCAATTGGACGATTGGGGACAGGATGCAATCTGGTAAGTTTCTTTTCAGGATCTCGAGACGGATGAGCGGTAAGTCACTTTTCAGGGATGCACACTTTGTTCACTTATCACTTAAATATAACTTGAATCACTTATTTAGATATGAGCCTGTGCGGTTATTTAAAGCACTGCGGATTTCCGTATCCCACCGCTGCCACCAAAATGTTATAGGGTCTTTAAAAAATGCTTTTTAAAAAAAATGAATTTATTTAGAAGGACAAAATATATCGAGACCCTGGGGCAACCACGTTATAAGAAGGATGAAAACAGACTGAGCTCGCGACGAAGCGAGCTCGGTGACTAAAGATTCTGCTGATGCAGCGGTATCTACCTGTAAGCATTTTAATATGTAGGGGTTGTATATAACAGATCCATCAGGATGGGTTACCTCATTTGCTGATAAACTCGCTCCCTATCTATCTTCCTATAAAAACATATGACATCATCCCATCTGTTGGTAATTTAGATAATCCTTTCACCTTGCGGGAACTTGACTTGGCACTTGGAGGTCTTAGAGATACTGCCCCCGGTATAGATGGTATTCCATATTCGTTTCTTGTTAAGTCGAGGGAAGAAACCAAACTATATTATTTGAAATTAGTTAATACTTTTTACCATTTAGGTATCATCCCTGAATCCTGGAATAAGCAACTAGTTATCCCTCTGCTTAAACCTGGCAAAGACCCTTTGGACTATAATTCTTATAGGCCCATTGCGTTATCGTCCACCCTTTTCAAAGTGTCAGAACATATGATCAGGAATCGTTTAGAGTGGTTTTTTGAGAGTCAAGGTCTTTTGGCTAAATCTCAGTTTGGTTTTCGAAAGGGTTTCAGCACTCTGGATAATTTAAGTATACTTACGACTGATATTCGTATAGCTTTTAAGAAAAAGCAATATGTAGTTGCTGCGTTTTTAGATATAGTAGGCGCCTATGATAATGTCCTTCTTCCAATTCTCAGACGTAAATTGATTCAGTTGAGTGTTCCTGAGAAGTTGGTTCGATTCATAGTTAATTCTATTTCAGCTAGGTCTATTGAAATCAAATGTCATGGAGCGCCTTCTATAGTCAGGTCTGTTTGGTATGGTCTACCTCAAGAGTCGGTTTTGAGTCCCCTGCTATATAGTTTTTATACTTATGACCTAGAGAGTGTTGTAGATTCATTCTGTCAAGTCTTACAGTATGCAGATGACGTAGCCCTCTATATAAGATCGAATTCAATCGAGGAAGCTTGCTTTCGTCTCAATACTGCGTTAAGTTGGTGATTGGCTAATGGATCACGGCTTGTCACTATCAGTTTCTAAATGCTGCAGTGTAGTGTTTACCAGAAAACGTAACATTCCTACAGCTCAAATAGTTTTTCAAGATGTCCCTATTCCCATGAATAACCAAGTAAAATTTTTAGGCGTCATTCTAGATTCTTAATTATCAGGAACTCCTCATTTCCATAGTGTTGTAAATAAATGCGAGAAAGGGGTCAATGTTCTCCGTGCTCTTTCGGGTGTATGGTGGGGTGCTCATCCATTCACTCAAAAATTAATATATAATGCCCTAGTCCGCTGTCATTTCGATTATGGTTCCTTTTTTTTAGACCCATGTAATAAGTTGCCACTTGATTAAATTTCTAAAGTTCAATCAAAATGCTTGCGGATTATTATAGGTGCCATGAAATCGTCTCCCATCAATAGTCTCCAGATCGAATACGTTGATCCCCCTTTGTATCTGCGTAGGCAATGTTTGAGTGATCGATTTTTCCTTAAAGTTATACAACGTGCATCCCATCCTTTACTTAAAAAATTAGAAATATTGTTGAAAGTTTCTAGTACTTCCTCCAGTTCATCGGTAGGTGTCTCTTGTATCCTCCATAGCTACAAAAAATTCCATACTCCTTCCCTTCCCATAGAACGGTATTCTCGTCTTCCTCTTTTTGAAAATAGCTTTGAATCACTTATTTTTGAGCCGGTAATTCTTCTTGATTTTGGAAGCGACAAAGACTCTCCATATGCCATGCGTGCAATGGCATGGAAATTAGCATCGGAATATAAAGGCTGGATTTCTATGTACACTGATGCGTCCAAGCAGCATGTTAATGATCCAGTTGGATCAGCAGTATGGATTCCTGCTCACAGATTAGTATTAAGTTTCAAAATTCCCTCTCTCTCTTCTGTATTTCTGTATTGACATTCAGAGAACTATCCCCAGTACTCCCTGGTTCTTTAAGGAAAAGCTTTTAAGTAAAAAAACGATTTCAATTATTTGTCGCCTGAGAATTGGACATGTGCGTACGCCAGTTCGACTTGCCAAATTTAAAATTAAAGACAACCCCTCTGCGATTGTGGCATTGAGGAAGGAACTACGGATTATATTTTATTTAATTGTTCAAATTTATCTATTTCGCTTTATGATTTGCTACCATCAAAGGTTCCACGTCCAACAAATATAAAATGTATCTTGAGTATGGAGAATCCCAGCCCATTCAAAATTTTAGCTAAATTCTTTGCAATCAATAATAGTCTTAATTTATAAATATATTTGTTTTCTAAATACATTCTATTTGTATTATCTTTAACAATGTAATCAGATAGACGCGCTCAGAGCTATTTTTTTTATTTTATTTATATTCAAAATTTAACATATTTTATTATTGTTTCTATACGTGTAAAGACCACAAACGTGACATTGGCGGAATTGTGTAAATGCAAATAGGCCATGAATTAAAAAAGAAGAAGAAGAAGAAGTACAACGTGACAGGTCGATCATCGCCATCTTTTATTCATTTCATTTTACATGTAAAAATTAATTTATTTACTTGACATCAGCAGAGTTGTGCGAAATGCGCAGATAAGCCATTAATTAAAAAAGACGAAGAAGCAGTGTGACCAATTGTGGCAGATTTCTGCCATTTTAGCAAATTTCGCTCCTTAATTTTGTATTTGGCAGATTATGCTGACGATTTTCAAAAGTGGCAGGTTTCGGCAGATTTAAAAGATTTTAAGAATATTTACAGTATCTTATTTGAATTTTAATGAATTTATATTTTTTGAAAGAGATTACCTCTATGTTTAATTAATTTGTATAATTAAGTAATCAATGATTTCATCGACCTGGCAACTTTAGTTTCATGGCCAGATAATACGGGGATTTCCCACTTACTTTTTTAAAGCAAGTGTGTCAAACGATTCCGAACTGTAACAAAACTGCAATAGCGTTCATATTCTTATCTTCTTTAATGATTTGATTTCCAAAATTTCAATAAACTTTTGATTTTCATTCATTCTTGTGTGGTCATTGATCGCGTGCGCTGCTGGCCTGTCTAACGAAATTTTACGAAATGAAAAATTTTGGGGAGCGATAGGAATAATCCTGGACGCGAATGGAGCAAAAAAATACCCACACATTTCTAATTTTGTGAAAGCTTTATTATGTTTGCCAATGTCTAATGCTTCGTGCGAATTTCACAGCAGATTCCTGAACCAACATGTTTCAGCTTTGATTACAACTAAGGAGGGGATTAATGAACCGAATGAATTTATGATTAAGAAGATATCAAAATCTATGTACACCGAAAATTACGAATATTTGGAGGCAAATGCGGATGCGTAGGTAGAGTAAGAAGTTGAAAAAAGTAAGGTGTATAAAGTGTTAACATTAGTTGATTAAATTTCATTGAATACATTCTGCATTTTTTTCTTGTTTTCATGAAGACATATTTTTGGCATATTTGGTACTGAATGTGGCAGATTTTTGCCTGACCTGTGGCAGATTTACTATTTTTGGGATGGTCACACTGCGAAGAAGTACAACTGACATTGGCAGAATTTCTGTGTATAACGGAAAAGGGCAAAATTTAAATAAAGTATAAAAAGACCTAAAATATATATTTTTTAATAATAAACTTTTTTAAATCTTTTTATATATATTGTGATAAATTATTAAAAATGTTAGAGAAAAATATGACACTACGAGACCTATTTGAGGAAGTAAGAGATATGGACATCTCGGATCCATCTGCTTTAACTTATGTTTTTTCATATTTAGAAGAACTGAATGAGGAAACAGAGTGCTATATGAAGGTATATATTTTTATCATGTTCTTATAATTGGATTATTTACTAAATTTAATGCACTTTAATTTCTTCTTAAATAAAAAAAATTCCATAAGGCTGTTCCATTATTAAGATAGGTTATGTATGCGTGAACCTGTCGACCGAAACCGTATTTACATAAAAAAAATATTTCGTCCAGTTTTACAATGCAAAGCAATGTCATTAAATGTACGTTATGAAACTAAAATCTGCAAAAAATGTATACTGACCGAGCCAGTGTTAGACGGATATACTGTTGATTTTGTCATGCATGCCCTGAAAATGAGGTCATGAAACGTTTCATTCCACTAGTTTTATAGATTAAATTCAGCATAAGAATAAGTAAAAAACCAAGGCTCAGACAACACTGATTGCATGTAAGTCTGAAATTTAGCTGTTGTTTTTAACACTCAACCTAACCTCTAGCCTACTGGCTACAACAAGCACAAGCTCACTCCAGCCTACTGGAACTTTTCTTTTGCATTTCCAGTCATCCCTTAAGCGCATGTAAATGCAGTGTAGTTTAACCCTAAAGAAGGAGAAAAGAGTAAAGTTTTCTGACCCACTTGCCATTCATTAAGTCCCTGTATAAAGTAGGGATTCTGTTTTCCCAGGCACTCAGCTCAAGAAATTATAAACATAGTTGACTCCTTAAAATACTTAATGTATTAAAATTTATGAAAGACTTTTTGATTAATTAATCATACCTTATATATACTTATTAATACATTTTTGTATTTCCTGAATAATAATTATGTATTTCTCATTAGAAATCTCATAATGCTGAAATAAATTATGTTGTTTCTGTTAAATATTAGATGCTTGTGAAAAAATTAGAAAATGCAGTCATAACTTGGGAACAACCTTGGTATCAATTATCAACGTGTCTAACTAGACCTTTCAAAGAACCTGCTGATGCTCATGAAGAGCAATATGAAATGGGCACTATGACAAAGGATGAAATAGATCATATTGCAAAAAATTGGCGCAAGTTTATTAAGGTATTATACTCTATTTTATTTTTAGGTTTATTTTATTTTTCCATCACATTGCCAGTTTAAGACAATATGTGAACAATTATGAATGGCTGTCAAGCATTATAACCAGCCTAAGATCTATATAGTGAAACACCTTTTGTGTGAAATTTATTCACAAATAATATGAAATAATTCAAACACATTTGTAGGTGTGTAATTTGGTGTATTTATTGTTAAGAGCTCTGATGGAAGTATCTAATGCCATCACAATTTATCAGATGTAATTAAGTTTTATCTAAAAAAAATTCACCATCACTATTGCTGAACTGCCCAGCCCTGCCTTATTTTCTAGCAAATACTGAATGATTTTCTTTGCATTGTTTATTAAGAGTGGGACTTTCCTGGCAAGTCTTCAAAGTTCGTTTTATTGATTTGTCAACATAATGAGTCATGTGGATATATTTAGGATTGAGTTTGTAAAGAACATCGTAACAGATTTCTTCAAAGCCTTAACAATACAGCATATCCTCTCATGCTATAGTATTCCTTTACTAAATTTTCTAGATACCTTATGAGTTGTTCCTTGCTTTTTATAAAGTAAAATATCATCAAATGCCTTCTTTAGTGAACATTAAAGAAGTAGTTGGCAATTTCTCTATACACACAAGTAATAAACTGGAAACACCCGCTCACAGTTGGTGGCTGAATGTACATTTGGTTTGAACATATCTACACTTAAAGAATTAACTTACTAATTTCAGGACCCGGTCAATCCATATCAAGTGGTGCAGCACTGGTTGCTCGTAATTTTTTTTTATTTTTTATATTGTTACCAAAGAAAGTACTGTTCATTGGAAGTACAAATATACAATTATTTTATTTAAAAAAAAATATTTAGCTAATGGTGGCCATTTTTCTGTTGATTTCAGAACTCTGTGCTAAATCAAATATCTCTGCTTCTATTCATCCTAGAACATTCAAATAAAAACTAATCTAAAGAATTTTAAAAATTTAAATAATTGCATGTTTGTATTTCCAATGAACAGTACTTTCTTTGGTAAAATATAAAAAACAATTAAAATCTATGAGCAACCAATTAATTTATTTCTGGACCATTTGATATGGATTGACCCTACCTTTAAAATAAAGAATACAAAATAAGTACTTATACGTCTTTTTTGTTAGTAATATTTTTGTTTAGAAATTTGATGTTCCAGACAAGTTAATATGCCTTGCAAGATGGAGAAACAAAGAACTAAATCAACGACTGCCTGAAGAGAAAGCCCGTGTATTTGTGATAGCATATTTAGCTCGTGGCTTAAAGAGAACAATGTCTCAAATATATAAACACATTGTTTCGTATTATGGAGGATGCAATAAAGGGCAATATTCAAAGGACGAAGAAAAAGTAATGGGTATTTGCTTCCATCATTGCCCAAAAAAAGCTGTCACAATTCTAAGTACGGTGCTCGCCCGGGAACCGAGGGGAATTTACAAAAGACTTTACTTTACTACAAATGGTAAGCTCTCAAAAATGCTATAAATAATCTCACCTCTCACATCTTTACTATGATTAATCTTATAGTAATCATATATATGATAACTTTTCTTCTAGATTAATCTAATCTCGCAACCTGCGTTTGCGGCTCGTACACTATTATCGCGAAATTTTATATTTTCGCCTATTTATATAAATAAGATTATAGCTATGGTGTTGAGGGTTCCTTTTAATGGCCAATTTATTTTAGTACTTTACTACTACATAGTACTTTCTCATTTATATTATAAAATGTTGAGCTATTCTCATCTCAGTTGATATATTCGTTGATAAAGTGAGGTCGGTCCTCATATTTTGTTTATTCACTTCCGTCCAGCACGTCTCCTCTGTTAAATAAATGACTAATTTTGATATGGAAAAACCTGCTATAAATTAAACACAAGAAAGAACCAAGGATAGAACCCTGTGGAACACCTATCTCTTCTATCTCAGAATGAGGGGATCCCGTCCTCACGAAAGTAAATGATGAGAGACCTCGGATGTCACAACCATTCTAGTTTTGTAGTCCATGAAATTTTAAAATAAAAATAACAATTGTGAGCATACTGCTAATATAAGGAAGTGCGTTAATTATGTTATACTTATATGTATATGCCGCAGCCCAGCGGTATAAACAGCCGACTAATTGGGCGTCTAGCACTTTAATTCAATGGCGCCATTCAATTAACAGGCTGAAAATAAATATATTAATAAGTGATTTTTTTTTTTTATTAAAACTTATTCGCGACTGCGTGTTACTGGTCCGTATGATCGAGTAGGGGAAACAATTTTGACATTTTATTTCATACATCAAATACTATACACAGAAATCGTATGATATTAGTACCAATCGAAAGGTAATTATTTACACCTGCGAATGACTAACGTAAAGTATACGTTAGTCATTCGCATCAATCAATCTTTAACATACAATAGTTATTAATTTTCAGTAATTTCTCAAGTATTACAATGATGCGGTCTGGTTTCTGAACTGTTGTGATAGCTGATTCATCAACTTTCCATGTATGCTTCCCTTGTAACCCTATGGTATAATTTTGGAAAAAAAGTTGTTCATTTGATCTGCTAAACTTGTAGCTCGAGCGATAGTTGTAGGTTGAGGTAGTCTAAGTGAAAGAACAGCCCTGCGATTCTGTAAAACTCCAAACCCGAATTCGAATTCTCTCAGGTGTCCGAATTGACTTCAAAAAGAGGCATACGCTCAACCTTGAATTGGTAATAATGTTTCGTAGCATAAGTGAAGTGAGTTTCGAAATGATATAGGAATAGAATATCTGAGACACGTGTATTCAATCAATTTTGTTTTGTATTTTTATACAAAAAAAAATGGCATCAATAGAATTTTTACACTAAATGACGTGAATTCGGACACATGAGTGAATTCGATTTCGGGTCTGGATTTTACAGAATCGCAGGGCTGGATGCCGTTTCAGAAATGATCGAAGTCAAACCTTTCCAGCCATTTCATGAGCAGTCCAAGCAGAAGGGATTTTTTATATATTATATTTACAGCCAATTGATAGGCAAAAGTTCTGGCTTCTTTAGTTCTTAGGCCACAGTTAACAGCAGAGCAGTTTAAAAGATTGCCTTCTCCTCTGAAGCTGTAAAAACAGTCTTTTCAGGATATCCAACTCTAGGAGCAGTTGCCGTTTCGTTGCCTTCATAAGCATTTTTTTAATATACCTGCAGAGAGATGTATGGTTCAGATTATAACTCGAAACCGCGTCACGGAGACTTTTCTGGCGCAAAATTACTTCTTCTGCTGTGAGATCATATATTTCGCGACTTGAGTATGCTGTCGCATTTGTCTGCTTTGCAGCCATTTTCCAATATCTCATGTTATCTATGTAGAGGAGACCGAGGAGAGTTGAAACAGTCTGTTTCAAATCTGCTCAGTAGAAATAAAACCTCTCATTTTTATTTAATGTACAATGAAGAAGCAAATACATAGAAATCAATTGTACCAAACATATACAATGAATCTTTAGTTAAAGAGCTTTCGAAACACATATAACTTAAACCAAAATACAAAACCTATATAAAAATATAAACATCATAACAAAGCCTACAAAAATTACTTTTCACGATTTTTGACATACGGCTGATCTATAACTTGGTCATTTATGCACGGATTTAATTTTTGTATATTGTGTTAAACCTATATTTTTATTACATTGTGTTAAATGAAATAATATGTACATCATGAAATTTCTCAATTGTTTAAAGGTAAGCCGTCAAAAAGGAGGTTAAAATGGAATTTAGATAGAGCCACTAAATTTGTAAATTTATTGATGGAATATACTGATGAACCTCTAGAGGGACTGAAGAATAAAAAAATAGATAAAAGTGTTTGGTTAAAACTTGAACAAGATTTTGAGAAGCAGCAGGAATATCTACAACATTTTTGGAATACTACTCTTCACTGTCAACTATTTATTAAATGTCACTTTACATTAAGAAAGTTAAGAAGATGTGTTTTTAAAGTGTAAGTTTTTATAATCTTGGCCTTCAAATCCTTGGCCCTCTTTTATTTATTATATTCATCAATGACCTTATAAATAACCTGAATTGTCCCTTTTTATTATACGCAGATGATTTGAAGGTATTCTCCACCATAAAAAATACAACCGATGCTCAAAATCTCCAACTTGATTTGGAGACTATCGCCTTATGGTGCAGAAACAATAAAATGTCCTTGAATATCAACAAGCGTTTTGTATTGACGTTTACTAAAAAGGTCAATGTCACAAGCTTCATTTACAACATTCATGGTCTTCCGCTAAGTCGTGTCGAACAAGCAAAAGGTTTAGGCATAATCTTTGACCCAGAAATGTCCTTCAAAGCACATTATAATAATATCTACAACAAAGCAACTCGCCTTTTAGGTTTCGTCTTGAGAGTCACTAAAGAATTTAGAAATCCCCGCAGCATCATTTATCTATTCACTTCTTTAGTTAGAATTAACCTTGAATATGGGTCAGTCATTTGGTCACCCTTTTATGACACTCATTCTAAACTAATGGAGGGTGTACAAAAGAAGTTCCTTCGGTGCATATCCTATCGACAAGGTCTATCTCGTAAATTAAGATCTCACAACGAGAGATTGTCTAGGGTTAATGTTGCGACCCTGATAGACGAAAGCAGTGATTTGTTCCATTTGCATTCATACATTGAGTCACCATCCTTACTATCCTCCATAAATTTCAACTTTTCCTACAGGACGCGTAATCCGAAAACATTTTCATTGCAAGTTTTCCGCAACAATATATCCTTTTATAATCAAATCGTCCGTCTGTGCCGCCTTTACAATGAGATAAGTCAAACTAATCATGACATAGATATATTCGACGGTAATGAATATTCATTCAAAAAGAAAGTAATGTCACTATTTAATTCAACGATTATGTCATCATAATCAGCATTAACGCTGTTTTTTTATTTTGTAAGATTCAACGTAAAATTAATATTATTTGTTTAAATGCTGCTCCACTTTAATCATGCTAGAGATACATATTATTGGGTATAATTGGATTTTGCAAGATGAATAACAAATTATGTTTTGTATTAATTATATCCTGTTTTGTATCTTAATAAATAAATAAAATCTGACGCGCCGAAGGAGGCGTAAGAAATGAATTTCAGATTTTGTATCAAAAAATACTTATGAATCTATGTACGAATAAAGACATTTTTTTATTTATAACGAGGCTTTCAATTATCTGGTAATTAATTAGTTTATTATGATTACAGATTACGAAGTTCTTCATTTAAAGTTTGGCCAGATATTCGATGGAAAGAAGTAGTTTCGAAATTTCCAGATGGATTTACTCATAAATTTTTATATTGGACAACAATACGAGTTTTTAAGAAATTCAAAACATATTCAAAGACACCACTTCAAGAACTTGTCGATTATGGTTTAGATATTACCAGATCGAAATATCCACGTCGTAATTGTAAACTGAGAACTTTAACGTTAAATGAATATGGTCATCTGGAAGAGATATATTACAAAGATAAGCTTAAAATTAGTTTTTTTTAATAAAACTTGAAACTTATTTTGCATTTTTCTTTCTTAATACAAAAGTGCATTGTGAGTAAAGTGGAATAATTCCACTTTTAAATACTTCAAGGCTGGTTTAATATTTGTGTTTACCTGTATGAACAAACAAATGGTACTGCATGCGGCTGATAAATGCAAGGATACCCGACAGTCTCAAGATTATGCTTGTCCGCATAGTGTTTTTTATTGGGCATGTGGCGACTGATACATAGCGACATCTAATTCATCGCAGTAACATCGCCACAACAATCGATAGCGAGAAGACTAGCATCGTCACAGCCATCGATAGCAAGACGAACTGCAATAAGTTTCAACAGCAAGTAACGAGATGGCGCTGTACCTAGCTCGGAGGGAGACAATTATCCTTTAGTCTCCCTGGCCAGTTGTCTCCATCACCACAATAGGGACCCCAACCTTCAACCACATGGTTCCTAAAGTGGTGACCCCACCAGCAGAACATCAGCAACCTTCAGCATCAGCAACCTTTAACATCAGCAACCTTCAGCATCAGCAACCTTCAGCATCAATCAGCAACCTTCAGCATCAGCAACCTTCAGCATCACAACGCAGCCATCACCCTTCATCATCAGTCTCTCATCCCTCATCAGCACAGCCACTTCAGCAGCAAGTCAGCCAACACCAAGGTCCATCACAGCAGCATCAACGGCGCTTCCTGGATTCTTGGTACCACTCGACGGCATTATCCCGACCTGGTCCTCGCAGCCCACGACCGGACCTCAGTTCACACACAACTCACCGGCGTGGCAGCCCTGCACACCAGCAGTTTCGGTCCCGACGTCACAACCATGGCACTTGCAAGCTCTGAAGCACTGACTGCATACCACCTACTATCAACATGGATCGACCTTCGGTCTAGGGGGAAAGTACTGTGGCGACTGATACATAGCGACATCTAATTCATCGCAGTAACATCGCCACAACAATCGATAGCGAGAAGACTAGCATCGTCACAGCCATCGATAGCAAGACGAACTGCAATAAGTTTCAACAGCAAGTAACGAGATGGCGCTGTACCAATACAAGCAGCATAAATTAATAACTACAAGACACTTAGAACAAAGAAACCTACATCACACAGAATAAGTTTAATTACCAATTAACATAAATAGAACGTCCAACCTACATCGGTTGGACCGCGGTCCCCGGGCTAACAACACCTAGCTCGGAGGGAGACAATTATCCTTTAGTCTCCCTGGCCAGTTGTCTCCATCACCACAATAGGGACCCCAACCTTCAACCACATGGTTCCTAAAGGCACGATAATATTCGACCATTTCACTTTTGGAAATAGCTTTTTTAAGTTTAATTATACTCAATACGGTTTATTAAACTAAAACAAACAAAACCATTTATTAAAAATGCAACTAATAAAACAAAAATAACTAGCTGTGCCCAAGACTTCGCCCGCGTGGAATAGTGACTTGACAGCATCTTTAATTTATAGGGTTCTGTACCCAAAGGGTAAAACAACAACCCTATTATATACCAAGACTTGTCAGTCATGTCTGTCTGTCGCCAGACTGTGTCACATAAACCGTGAAAATTAGACATTGAATTTTTTACAGATGATTTAACAAACAGGAGTGACAGACACGTCAAGTAGGCACAAAACACTAAAGAGATCGAAAAAGTACCAAGAAGTCTTTACTTCTTAACAGTCATGACACAACTATATGGCAATCTTTGGGTAACTTTTTTTTATTCAATATAAAGATATCACTTTTGAGCTCTAAATAACTCCGGTTAACTGGTGTAAATTAAAAACTAAGAAAACATTGCTCAACCATAAATTTGTTTTATCTTTTCGGAATGGTACCTATAAAAAAATAAGAATGATATAAATACAGAAAAAATATATTTTACCATTTTCATTATGAATAAAACACTACATATAACTGCGTTGAACATTTCCTAGAACGAGTATAATTTCTGAATCCTACAGGCCTCATTATCACTTAATTTAGTAAAATGCCCATTTTCCATTTCAGACTTTTGGAATGGACTTTAGAATGTCTTTTTTATATTTACATCTCTACACATTAATAGAATGATGGTTTAATAGACCACTAAAATAAACATGTAAATTTATGACTTCTGTAAATGTTCCAGAAAGCCTTTAGAGCATCGAACTGATTGCTGATAGCACTTCTCAAAACCCTTAGAATCTGAATCCTGAAATGAAAAATACATATAATATTACTACAGATTCAAGAAAAAATATAACTCAGGTTAGATTTGTTTAACAAGAATAATATTCTATTTACTCTTTGATATAATTAAGGTTAATAATTGGAATTTTGTTTTTTCATCAATAAAATATTGCCTATTGTATTAAAAGAAATATTCTTATGACTTACATAATAAGGATCTCTTATAATTCTATCTCCTTGGGGATCAAAGTCACCAAAGAGCAATAATTTAGCTTTGCTACCTTTAGGTGCCCTTTTATTCAAGTCTTTCATATTAGTTTCATCCATTCCAAAAATAAAATCATAGTTATTGAAATCTTCTGTTGTAATCTGTAATGAAAAGGTAATTTTAATTATAGTGCTTTAATATTTATATTATGCAAATCACATTGCAATGAGGATTTACTTGTCGAGCACAGTTGTCATAAGGTACTCCATGTTTTTTCATGGTATCCAATGCTCGCCAATCGGGAGAATGTCCCACGTGCCAGGACCCAATAGCGGCGCTATCTATTTCCCATTGATCACCAATATTCATATCGTTAACGGTTTTCTGAAATACTCCTTCAGCAATAGGTGACCGGCAAATATTACCTGAAATTGGAAATTTAATTAAGTAAACATATTATTGCCAGTTAACACCAGCGGTCAGTATCTACCTTTTTTAGCTACAGCCTCAGACACAACTTTTTTTGGTCTGATGCTGCAGTCGGTAAAATGGTAACTAAGAATCCGCTACTTTTGTAGAAATAAAGAAACATGTTGTAGGTAATATAAATACAAACCAAGACATATAAATAACGCTTTCTTTTTTTCTGCAGACATTTTCAAAGATGATAAAATTTTCTTCGTTTGAGAAAGATCTACCTTTTCTTCTTAACTTTAATGGCTTTTTGCCACTTTTTGCGTCACACTCATAGAGGAATAATCATAGAATAATAGTACTCCTAACGGAGGGAATAATATAAGAAGTTGGTCACCACACAACAATAATACTCTACGATTGGTCACACTAAACCAAGGAACAAATACTCTTGACGAACTAAACTAACTACTGTATAATATACTCTTTGCATAGAGATGTTGGCAAAATTTCCGTGTATAATGGAAGAAGACCATATTAAAAAAAAATGATAACGCCCTGGCCTTGCGCAATGTATATCACTATATCACCTACGCGAAAAGAGTGATATATGTCTTTTAGCTCGAAGATCTATATCTATCATTTATATCTCGCTCAGTTCGAAAGAAAATAAATTCTGTTCTCTTTCTCTGGGTGAGATATAAAAGATAAATATTCTATTGAACACGACAAAGCAAAGCGGGTGAAAATGAAACGTTCGCAGCTTAATTCTTTTAGTTTGAAATTGGTTTGAAATCATTATGTTGACATATTTAAAAAGTGGCTATTTACAAATTTTATTTACATTTATGTATATTCCTACTATAATATTTACATTTACTACATTACTTTATCAAATAATTATTTACATATATAAAAAAAGTAAAAACTAATAAGTTCATTAATCAACATTAAAACTTAATCTGAGTGAATTACTGCTGATATATAATAATTACCACATTTTTTTAAATATTTTCTATGATAATGACATTCAATAATATTTACATTTTTATAAATGAATCGAATTTTATCTACATTTATTAACACCTATTTACATTAATTTACCTATTATTTACATATGTACGTCAATCAACCTCCGTAGCCAAGTGGTTCACAAGCCGGTTTTAAGGTGCCGCCATTCTGAGTTCTCGGGTTCGATTCCCAGTTGGGTCAATGTTGAAAATTCACTTTTCTATATGATCTGGGGTCTGAGTGGTCATGGTACCTTCGTTGGCTTTGGCTTTTTATTCATCTTGGAATTTGAACAATGTATGTGATGTCGTCTAATATATTTATAAGTATTAATAATAATTTATCAAATATAACGGCTCGTTTTAATCCATCAATCTTCCCGCTTGTTTTAATTAGGGGAATCGAATAACTTACAATCCTTTTTTAGAAGTTTTCTGATTCCTAAATATATTTTAAATCGATTATCAAAAATTCTAATTCCCACAAAAATATTTTACCTCTTTATGTACCCAAATGACTCTTATAAGTTTCTAATTGAATTGTTTAAAAATGGCGCGTAAACAGCGACTCAGTCAAAAGACGTGACGTAATCCATAGAAAAAACTTAATGGATTTTCAATAAATGAACTATTGCATGCTGTTAAAATAATCCTTCGAATTGAATCTGTACATATAAATTTTAATGCATCATTATAATTTTACACATTGACTGTTTCCCGCGCTTTTTTTAAATTCTTATTAATATCTGAAGTCACGCGCTGATTGGTGTTTCGTTTGATTAGAAACACAGACTACATATCTAGAAAAACTACACATTTTACTTCTTGATTTAAAAATATAATTCATTATTATATGACAAAAATATTCGTCGAATAATGTCTTGTCGAACTTTTTACCATACATTTTTTTATTACTTATCGGATTGCTGTGAGACTTTTGTCATACGAATGTACTCAACGTATAGTCTGTGCCAAATCCCTAGATCGCTTGAAGTTGTTTCGAGCACAGGTGCGGTAAGAAAGTAAACGTTATGTTTATGTACATAAAATACCGTATTAGGAATACGGATACGAAACAACGTCAGAGCGAAATAGAAGTTTTGCAAGGACTATTTCATTCACGCGGACTCGGAGTTAGTCTGAAACGAATCGTGTTACGAAGATATAAGGATATATTTCAAATATAGACGAGGGAAATGATATATTTGCTCACTTGAGACAAATGTAAAATTTATATCACTCGCTCGCGAGCTTCTCAAATCTAAACGCTACATAACCTTTGTCCATAGATATATTATAAATACTGGTGTTATACCTAGGTATGTCTTGTTATTGTCTTGCAAATTTCGATCACAAAGTACCTGCAAAAATCAGCCTGTTGGAAGAAATAACATTAAATAATTGTTTAACTTATAACTGAAAAAGTAAGATAATGGATGTCTATGAAAAAATTAACCAGGTTCCATGTCGAGTTAAAACATGGGGCAGTCCTTTTTCTTGTCATGGTTGCGATGTCATCTTGTGTATTACAGGAAATCCAGGAATAATTGATTTTTATTATGAATTTTCGTCAACTCTTCATCAAAGGACTGGTTTACCAGTGTGCCTAATAGGTAAGTTGAACATTGTTTAAAAAATAATATATTGTACTTAGTGCTTGCTTAGTGCGATGTTCTAGTATACAAGTGTTCTTCTTCTTCTTAACATTGTAATATACGAAGGTCGCGGTTTATATTCTAATTTTAAATGACGTAGGTATTACTCGTGCGATTTGACATGATGACCAACGATCTGAAATTTCGTCAATTTTCGATAAATCATTATGGAACAGAGGAAAACCTGACACTACCTCTGGTGCACCTATAATAAAAAAATAAACGGATATGATTTTAACAAAAGTATAAGAATGATCTCATTTTTCGAATTTTCGTTCAAGGATAAATAGAATATAGCCTCAGGTTGACACCTGTTAATTCGTACGAGTAGTAGATACCTACCCTACATACCTACTGTGAAAAGAAAGTTTTGGTTAGTCTTCCCTTCATCTGTTAAAGCAAACCGCTCAAATATGCAGTTTTTAATGACTTTTAAAAGAACAAAAAAAAACATAGTTTTTTTATTTCACAAATTAGGCAAAATATGTTTCTATCATTTATCAGACACATTAATGTTAAAGGGAGAATCATAGTTTTCAAAAATTAAACTAGATGTCGTCACATATAGTTTGAAATATTTTGATTTTTTTTTGGTCACACTTTTTGTCCTTCGAAATTAATTTCATTTTTTTGAACCGCTTATTTATTATGTAAAGAAACGAATATTCCATCGTGATCGCCATCTTTGTACAGTCAACAGCACGTCAGGTTAAACAAATCTGACAAAATTCTCCACCTACTTTTAAATCTTAATGCTTTGGGTGATAGAGTTAGTTTCTTTTCTTTAAAAATTCCTCCTCCGATTTCATTTGCGTAAATTATTGTATGGCTGTGCGTCAGGTTACCACAATATCACAAATTTCATAAATATAAACGCTACTCTCAAAGCATTAAGGTTTAAAATCAAGTGCAGAAATTTTTAGATTTGTATCCAACTGCCGTGCTGTTGACTGTAAGCACGGCCGTACGTCACACTACACATCACCACAGTAGGCAGACCTCTGTTAAAACAGCGGAATTTCTATACAAAGTGCGGCCGGTACAAAGTCCACAACATATAGTCTGACGTGCAGCCGTGTGTAAATCAAATTTGTGTTTTGTCATTTTCGTATTAAGTTCCTAAACTCACCTCAAAACTCTAAACACTCGTACGTACATATAGTCTAGTAGATATATAATTATTAACTCAAGCAAATATTTTTAAAGAATAATAATATTTGAAGGAAGTACAAAAGCAAATAAGTCTACCTTAAAACATTAAAGTTTCAAATCGACTAGAGAAAATTGACAGATTTGTATAACCCGATGTGCTGTTATAGAAGTATTTGTAACTAAGAACTCTCAAAAGGTAGAATACGTATAATACCTATTTTTTTACAGTTTTAACTTTATTAATACACTCAAGTAATTACTTCTATTCGACTATAATTACGACCTCTTATAATAGCATAAATGAAGGCTGTGTGTGCACGCGTAGCATGACTGACTCGAGAACGTTTTGTTTTACTACACTCAAATCTCTCTTTTCTCGGGCACGATATCTCACTCTCGAAGTCTCGAGCAAATAAGTGACATTAGGGTGTAGTAAAACGTTTTCATGAATGAATGGTTATCTTGTAGTTGTTTCCCTATTGATCTAATCTCTAAGCGCAGTTGTCTTTATGCTCAGCCTTAACTTTCTGGATCTATACACATGGTTACATCAGGGGCACGACCGCCTGACACATCACTGAGTTTTAGTGGGTATGCCCCAGTTATTTGATAAGCCCCAGTCTGGAGTGGGACCGCAGAGGAGAGTCCCACATAACCCGTCGACCCTACGCTAGGGGGGCAGCGGGTATACGTAACGTATTTCTCAGCGTTAAAAAAAAGCGATCGCCTAACTCTCTAGCCATAGGATACGACTTCTTATCGACGTTATAGTGATATTTCGTTTCATTTTACTACTTTAACTTGATGTACCTAAATACTTAAGTAACGATTTATGAAAAGTGTTACCATTGCAGTAATTTATCCCTATCTTATCTACCAGACGACATGTCAATGTAGTAACATGAAATGAAATATCGTCATGACATCGCTAGAAAGTCGTATTCTACGGCTAGAATCAAGACTAGAGAGGCGGTTACTCTGCAGCACGCGTAGCACGACAAACACATGTGCCCATACGATATCTGATCCGCGACCCGCAAAAAGTATTATTTTGGCGTGGTAGTGTAACCATGGGTGTAGATTTACAAGTTAAGGCTGATCGTAAAGCCAAAAGACTGTCCTTGTCTATCTCATTGCGCTTGGAAACTGGATAGATAGGAAAACAATAACCCATTAATTATTGTAAAAGTCTATATCTTGAAAGTGACTCGCACATTCATTATCAGTACCTATTGGTGAAAAATTTACTATTGAGAAAGTAAAGTCACACGTTGACTGTGACAAAACCCTTGTAAATTAATTTTGTCATTTTAATATGATATTGGAAAACATTTAAAAAAGTGTGTGAGTGATGCTTTTTCCAAAAACATTATTTTGTCTAAGTAAGCAAAACTTTGTTTACATTTTGATTATTCTAAATACATATGTACATGGCAAAATGGAAGATGTGACGTCATATGTGAAATAATCAAAAGGAAGTTCCAAAATGCCCTCCTTAGCGGTTTAATAATCATTTCATCTTCAAGTTTATTGAACAAGCTTTTTTTGCGTTTCCCGCGCTTTTCTTAAATCGTTTTTAAAAATGTAATTATAAGACACTATTCAACGAACTATCTTTAAATTATATGAACTTTTAAACCAAACACATTAAAAAAAATTATTACATTGATCTACAATCCGCTAGTACATAAAGCATATTTGGACGTAATTTCATCATGTGTAATTTCAGTTATTTTTTATATACGCGCCCTCTTAAGTTTCCCGATCA